CATACACACACACACACACACCCTAGAGAAGTACATGCTGCATACCCCAGATTTCCCCTTAATATTTCTAGTAGATGGGAGGTTGGGTGAGTAGATGAGATGGTGGGGAGAATGATGGGTAGGGGAAAGAGTGTTAGGTAGATGGTAGAAATCCCAGCAGGCCTGGAGTGGACAATCACATGGTTACCCAGGATACTGTCCCTAGATCAATGGGCTTTGGAAAGAACCCATGTTTTTCTGTTTCAGGTAAAACTAGAGAGCAACTTTGCCTCCATCGTGTTCGCCATCATGGTGTTGGAGGGGCTTGGCCGCTCACTGGACCCCAAACTGGACATCCTGGAGGCAGCAAAGCCCTTCCTTCTGAAAGGACCAGCGTCCTCCTGCTGACTGCAGCAGTGGGCATGCAGTGGGCCTTCGTCTGAGACCCGAAGGCCACTCCCGACCGCCTCTCCTGTGGCAGCTTGAACATTTTAAAATTGGGATGCATGGAAGGCATACCAATATTTTTCATTCTGACTTGGTCTCAGGGGTCTGTTTTAAAAGCTTTGGGTTATTTGGGGAAATGAAAGGAGGGAAGAGCCCTAGCCATTCAGTCGTGGAAGCTGGGCCTGGTGTCTTGGAGACTATTTCAGGGAAAATGTTCTGTGGAGGAGGACAAATAAACTTAGTTATTTTGTTTTCCCTTTTTGTCTCTTCTCCTTTTAACCCTCTCTCCTTCCTGATCAGGTGGGTCCTGCTGGGTATTCCATGACTCTGGGATTTAGGTTGGAAAAGGCCACAGAATCCTGTAGGCCCATGGCTTCCCAGTGTTTCTGATTACGCATCCTACTGGTGAAATGTATATATTTACATATATATGTGCACAGGTATCACTTACTCATAGGTTTTATACAGGTGTGACCACCACTAGCAAATCTCTGGGAGGCACAGTATATGTACCGGGGGCAAAGTTTGCTGTACTCCAAACGATCTTCTTGATAATTTTTAATATTTTTTGATGATCTCCTGCTCGATTTTATTACAAGGTAAAATGATTAATGTGGCTGACATACTAGGGACAGGAGCAGAATCGGCTCTGCCATTTTCTTCAAGTTCCCCTGTGTCCACATGTTAGCGTTCAGACTGCAGTTTCTCTGGGTAATGTTCAGCCCCTTTTCCATTTGTCTGGAGTCAGTTTTGGCTAATATTAACATAGAGATAAAATAATCAGTACATCCTCTTAAGCAGGGCTTGAAATCTGCAGTAGCTCCCCAGTGGTACCCCAGCAAGGGATTAAGGCGGCCGCTGCCTGCCTCTCTGCACTGGGTCCACTCATGGTCAGTTCTCTCACAGCTGTGGCTGGCCCACGTGGACTAAGAGGCTCCCAGGGTCAGCCGGTAGAGTAGATATTCGTAAAGCTTAGTTTCTTTCTTTTTTTTAAGATTGTATTTATTTATTTTGAGAGAGGGTGAGAGAGAGGAAGCACAAGCAGGGGGGAGGGGTAGAGGGAGAGGGAGAAGCAGGCTCCCCGCTGAGTGGGGAGCCTGATGCGGGGCTCGATCCCAGGACCCTGAGATCATGACCTGAGCTGAAGGCAGTTGCTTAACCGACTGAGCCACCCAGGCACCCCTAGTTTCTTTCCTTCCTTTTTTTTTTTTTTAAATAAAAAATAGCATTTTCTCCCACATCCCAGTGGGTTCTCTTGCTTGCTTTGGAGTCCACTGCTTTAGACAGTGAGTGGAAAGTCAAGCTCTCCTGCTCTCTGGAAGTTCTGCTCTGACCACAGGACTCCATTCTTCCATTCTTTCCTCAAGAATAAAGTTCCTCCTTTCTGTCTTTTGGGAAGCAACTAAGGTTTAGGCAGACAGAGAGGTTCATTTGGGGCAGTTTTTTTCAGAGAGCTGGAGATGTTATTTTTACTTGCCAAATCGTGAGGGGAGGGCAGTCTAGTCAGGCAGTGAGGGGCTGGCGTGGCTCACGGTAGCTGGGAGAGGGCAGTGGCACCAATTAGCTCCCTCATGGACACCCTGGCCAGACACAGGGCGGATGTGTCAAGTGCACAGACACTGAGGTGACAGGCGTACAAACACAGAGCAGGTGCCGTCCTGAGCCCACACCAGCACTACTGAGCTTTAACTAAAAGCCCGTTGGTTTAATCACACCATAGTGGTACGTATTAGGTAGTTATCTATCAGTGCATACAAACTACCCAAAACTTAGTGGCTTGAAAACGATAAAACTTAGTACCTCACAGTGTCTGCAAGTCAGAAATCTGGGTGCTGCTTCCCAGGTCCCCTGCTCAGGGTTTTGCATGGGCTGTGGGCATCTTGAGGCTCCCCAGGTGTGGGTCTGATGCCAAGCTCATTCAAATGGTGGTTGGCACAATTCAGTTTCTCATGGACTGTTGGACCAAGGGCCTCAGTTCGTCAGGAAATTTTACAGCAGCAACAGAAAATGAACACAGGCTGTATTGAAGAGGAGAGAAATGGGCAACAGATATGCTTTAGTATGGGTAATTTGCTGATTTTTAAATTACGCATCTTAAAATGGCAAAACTTGATCTATAAAGTCATCTTCTTAAGGAGAAAAGGCTATGGCTACTTCCTTGGCTGAGCAGGGAGCCCGATGCAGGGTTGATGTGGGGCTTGATGCAGGGCTCGATCCCAGGACCCTGGGATCATGACCTGAGCCGAAGGCAGACGCTTAACCGACTGAGCCACCCAGGCACCCCCGTGGAATAGGTCCTTGATTTGGGGTTAGATGCTCTATGTTAGGTGATTTAGAGTCTGTCTTTTGTTAGCAGTTGTCAGTTTGTTAACACTTGACTGGGAATTTGATTCATCATGTAGCAGCTGAGAGCTCAGTGTCAGGGCTTGGCATCCTTCCTCTCACCTTCTAAAATGCATCCTCTCAAATGGGGCACTCATCTGAGAACCCAAAAGAAGCCACCCCAACCCCTCACTGCCATCATACAATCTACAAAAAGTAGTAAGGGATATTTGCTCTGGGAGTTCTTAAAGTATGTCTGCAGAACAAACATGCATCACTGCTACATAGTCAAAATAGTTTACTGATGGAGACCCTATACTTTCTACAGTAAAAAAATCAGAATTTGTAATGCAAGACATTAAAGCTAAAGACCCCACAAGTGGTCTATAAAACAATATTGCTTTAAATACAGGCAAGCACTGAAGTTAAAAGTTTTCTTTTGTAATTCAGCAAGAAAGATGGGGAAGGTGGATGGATTTTAATACACCTGAATAGGTTTTGGTACAAGGAAGGGAAGGAATAACAAAGCATAAACATTTCCTGAGTGTGTGCTGTGGGCCAGGTACTCTCTTAAATGACTCCCACTCAGATGGGGCCACTGATACTCAGAGACGTAGAGTGACTTGTCCAAATTCAAAGAACTATTAACTGGCAGTGCTGAGGTTTGAACTTTAGATATTTTGGCCCTTTTTTGGTTTAAGCTGTGCTTTTTTTTTTTTTTTTCTTGGCCTTGACATCATAAATTCGTTCTTTGCTGGGATCAGGGAAGTTGTGTAGCTTGGGCAGTGAGCTCCCAAGGAAGGATGGAAAGCCCTGTCTTCCCAAATCATGAACTTCATATCTTAGTGGCTTGTACATGTAACTAGAAAGCGTAAGTGGTGAATGGTAGCTCAGAGAAAGCCACACTAGTGTATCAACTAGAAAGTCAACTTTCATCCAGAAGATAGTGGATTCTCTCCTCTAATTTATATACCAACTTAGAAGTTAGGAGGGCAGGACAACAGGGGAGAGTCCTACAGGGCCAGAGGGATAATTAATAGGCTGTTCAGAATGCCACAGGGCAGCTCAGTAAATCATAAGCTTTACCTGAGCGTAACTCCAGGGAGAGAGGTTTCCCGTTACAGGGCACATGGAGACCCACATCTTGGCACAGAAGGACAGATGTCAGTTATAGTTAAGGCATTCAAATCCCTACATTTAAGTCTACATTTCTGTCCATAAGTATCCCATTTTTCATGCATGAGTGTGAAGTTTTCAGTGTTTAGCTGAAGGATCATTTGATCCATTTCAAATTGAAATCTCCAAGGTGTGAGGCTGGCAGGCTAACTTCATATAATTTAATCAAACCTGGAACTTTTTAGGAAAGCTATAACCCATATATAAGACCCTAAGAATTTGCAGGACTGATGTGGGGTGGGTGTCCAGAGAAGCTGAGAGTCCATCCAGGATTTAATAGAAGGCAATATTAAGAGATAAAAGCCAAGAATCAGGGCTTGGCCCTGGATCAGGGTATTAGAGCACTGCGGAAACTGGAGGCCACGCTTAAATGCAGATTCCTTGGCCCTAGTTCAGACTGAAGAGTATCTGAGGTCGGGCTCCTTAGATGAACGTGATGCCATGAGCCCACGTACTGGTATTTGGGAACCATTGGCTGCCGGTCGGTAACCAAGTTTGCAGAACAACAGTAAAACAATGAAGACCTTAAAGAAACCGTCGGGAGCCTCTTGCAGGAGAGGAGAGTACAAAAGACTAGCTTTGGGGGGCGCCTAGGTGGCTCAGTCCTTAAGCTTCTGCGTTCGGCTCAGGTCATGATCCCAGGGTCTTGGGATCGAGCCCCGCATCGGGCTCCCTGCTCGGCGGGAGGCCTGCTTCTCCCTCTCGCACTCCCCCTGCTTGTATTCCCTCTCTCGAGGTCTCTCTCTCTCTCAAATTAAAAACAAAAACAAAAACTTTAAAAAAAGACTAGCTTTGGGAAGGTCCTCTGGTTCAGAGTGGGTCAGGCGGCCTAAAAGGGTCCGGAAGGCTGTTAACTCAGCAGCAGCAGGTAGAAGAGGGGAGGACGTGGGAAAACACCATCAAGATCAGCAGTCAGGGGGAGCGACAGCAGACTCAGCGTTGGTTTCTCAGCACACGCGTACAAACACCGATTCCTGAAGCCGAGCCCGACGCCCGGCGACCCGAATACCGCTTCCCTGCCCCCGTAAGTCACCTTCTGGGAGGTGGGCGGGCCGACTCCGTGACGTCACGAGGCGGGGCGCCGGGGGAAGTGACGTAGGAGGCGGTGGGGCCTGAGAAGTGCTGTCCGGACGCGCGCTGGCATGTCGGCTTTGACGCGGCTGGTGTCTTTTGTTCGCGTTGGAGGCCAGTGGTTCAGAGGCCCCGGCTCGCGGTCGGCGGGAGGCAGTGGAGTTCGTCAGTGAGTGTTGGCTGGGGGAGGGGCCTCGCCTGCTTCTAACGGAAAATGCCGGTCTTCGGGACGCCCTCACCTTGACGCCGGGCACCTGGGGTGGACCGGGTTCCCGCAGCGACCTCCGCCCCGAGGCATGCTGGGACTTGGAGTCCGTCTCTGCGGCGCCGGGGCCGGGAGAGCGGGGGCCGTGGGCTCAGGGAGGTTTCTTGGCAGGTTTTTATGACCTGAGCCGAAGGCAGACGCTTAACGACTGAGCCACTCTGGCGCCCCCGCTTGGCGGGTTTTAAACTGTGTATCGGGTCACTCCGGCCCCAGGGGAGGCCTGCCCTCGGGAAATTCAGTTAATCGTGGAGGCAAGCTGGAGCTAATCTGGAAGCGAGAGCAGGAGGGAAGAACTTGTACCGTATGTTTCCGAGGCTAGGAGTAACACAGAGGCGCCGCGGGAGACCTAGATACTATTTTTTTTTTTATTTTAAAGATTTTATTTATTTATTTGACAGAGAGAGATACAGTGAGAGAGGGAACACAAGCAGGGGGAGTGGGAGAGGGAGAAGCAGGCTTCCCGC